AGTTGTGTTTGGCATGTATTCTGTCCTGGAAACAGAAAGCTGACCAACACCGAGGTTTGCAAAGCACATTGTTCTCTTACCTGTCTCTGTGACATGCCCCGAGGCCAGTGATAGCAAAGCTTTTAGAGTGTTCAGAGACACAAAAAGCCTGGCGTGGCACGCATGCCATAGGTCTGCACTACTACCCTAGGCCTTCTGCTGTTATCTCATGGGTCTTTGAGACTGTGCTCAATTGTTTTGCGCTGGGTGATTTCTATGCCATCTGTCTCATCTCCATTCAGCCATAAATTCTTTTTTTAAAATTAATTTTATGAGGGTCGAGGATATAGGCAGGTAGCACAGCACCTGCCTGGCAAGTGTGAAGTCCTGAGTTAAATTTCTGGTACAAAAAAAAAAAAAATTGTTGTAGGTATATTTTAGATATACATAATGCTCACATTCATCAGTGAGAATTTGTGACTATGCATAATATGTCTTGATTCTTTTTTCTTTGTCTCCATTCCTCGCCCTTCACTTTCATTCTTGCCCTCATTTACAAAAGCTTTGCTTCTATTTTTCCTTTTCTTGCCCCTTTCCTTTTTTCCCTCCCCACTCCTTGTTCCCCTTCCCATGTAAACATTTTCTTCCCACTTCCAATATCTGTTATACATTTTGGTCCTTATTTACCCTTTTGGTTCCTCACATCAGAGAAATAATGCAGTATTTAAATATATGCATCTGATTTTCAGCCATAAATTCTATCTTGTTTGTGTTTTCAGTTCTAATATTTTCATTTTTTATATAACCTATTCATTTCTATTTTAATATTGATTTCAAGAATTCTGATTGCTCATCTTAAGTTTTTAATAATACCTAAAGTCTATAATAGCACCTGCTATCTTTCCTCATGAGTTTCATAGTTATTCAAATGCTGAGGTAGATGGGGCTGCACCCCAGACTGTGACTATTTTGTGTTTAAATTCTATGGAGAGGGACACCATGGTGACAAATGCCTTAGGAAAGGTGGCAAAAAGGGAGCCAAGAATAAAGTGGCTGATCCATTTTCTAAAAAACATTGAGATGAGCTGGGCATGGTGGAACATGCCTATTATTCTAGCATTCTGGAGGCTGAGGCAGGAGGATTGTGATGAGTTTGAGGCCAGCCTGAACTATATAGCAAAACCCTGTCTCAAAAAAATAAAAATAAAGAATTGTAGTAAAGGGCTGGGGAGACAGATCAGCGGCCTAAGTGCCTGCCTGGCAAGCAGAAGGACCTGGGTTCGATCCCCAGTGCCACATGCTGTGCCGGCCCTGGAACCCAAGGCGCACCAGGCCAACCCTGAAACCGGGTGTGGTGGTACACGCCTGTATTCCCAGCACTGGGAAGGCTGAGGTAGGATCACAGCAAGTCCAAGCTGCATAGCAAGACCCTGTATCAAATAAAAAGAATTTTTAAAAAGAATTCTAGTAAAAAGACTGGTATAACATAAAGGCACCAGCTATATTCAACAGAAGGAATTTCTGAAAAACACACCACCAGGACTCAAGGAACCAGAATTGCATCTGATGGGCTCAAAAGTCATGTGTTTGAATCGAGCCTTGCTGAGCTGCAGAATGATGTCTTTAGAAGAGGCAAGGTAATTACTGAAGACATTCAAGGCAAAAATCGCCTGACTTCCAGGGCAAGGATCTCACCTGTGAGAAAACGTGCTCCATGGTCAAAAATGGCAGGCCGTGACAGAAGTTTGTGTTGATGTCAGGCCTATCAATGGTCGTTTGCTTTGCTTGTTCTATGCTGGGTTTTACTTAAAAAAAAAAAAAAAAAAAAAAAAAAATCAGATATGACCAGCTCTTAACACTCAGAACCAACAGGTCACCCAATCTGGAAGATGATGGAAATCATGACCTGTAGACAAGTGACTTGAAGTAGTTGATAAACTGATTCCAGACAGCAAGGGGAAAGACACAGGAAAAACTTGCCAGTCTATCTGCCTCTTCATGATGTCTTTGTCAGAAAAGTGAAAATGCAGAAGCAGCCCAAGTTTGATTGGGAAAATTCATGGAGCTTTGTGAAGGTAGCAGCTCCGGATAGGCTCCTGGGGATGAGACTGGAGCTGAAGTTGAACGAGCTGATGGATATGAACCTCCTGTGCAAGGGTCTGTTTAAAGACCAGATTTTTAGTAGTGATAAAGTCCTATTTGTGAAAAAAAACCTCTCTGGAGAATGTTGATTGTTCTGTTGTTTTGTTTTGTTGTACTTGTTGGCAACTGATCTGGCTAGGTTCAGGCCCCAAGTTCCAACGTCCTGCGTCCCCATGTGGCTGTTTCTAGGCAATGTTTCTGCAGTGCCACCCAGACCCATCCAACTTTTCAGCACATCTGGTCAGTCTGACCTGGGCAGCAGTCAGCTCAGGTCCCAGGTAGTTTTGTGTGCTAACTGGGGCCGGCTCCACAAGGGAGCACTACAAGCAGGTCAAGTACAGTAGTGCTAGTAGTGCCAACCAGACAAGTGGGTGGGACAGCCCAGGTGCCCCCACATAGCCTGTGGAGTCCTTTCCCTGGCTCTTCCTTCTCCCCTCTTCAGTGATCTCTGGTGCCTGGAACTGTCACTGCTGTAACTGAGCCATTCTTCCCGCAAGAAGCAAGGGTATTAGCCTAGCCCTGCACTCCAGTGTAGCAGCTCCACTGTGGATTTCTCTCCATCAGGAGCATGGCTTTTGCAGACTCCCACTGGCAACCGGTGGGTTTCCTAGGAGCTTGCACATGAGACACAGAAAGAAGAGGGGGACCACCCCAACTCTCCAAGCTGTGTCTGTCCAATTCCCACCCCCATCCTGAGTCAACTTCCTCTATAACCTCTACACACATTGCTCACTTCTGTGTCTGGCCAGGGTGGAGCTCAGGCTGGGAAACTAGAAGAAAAGGTACTGCTGTTGGGATTCTGGCAGTGCCAATCTGCATGTTGCTACTTTTCAGGCCTGGGGTGGCTATGTGATGCTTTCCGTGTGATGCTTTTACAAATGTGTTTGGTGAAAACAAAATGGGAAAAGGAACGTGTTTACCTAGCTCACTCAGAACCAGAACAGTCCCTAAAATGTTAAATGGAAAAAGTTACAGAATGTATAGAGCATTCTATATTTGTGAAAAAAAAATTTTTTTAATGAGGCCAGGTCTAGTGGTACACACCTGTAATCCCAGCTACTTACAGGGCTGAGGTAGGATTCTAAATTGAAGGTCAGCCTGGACAATGTAGCAAGCCCCTGTCTCAGCAAAACAAAATCTATACATGTTCCTCATAGATGCTGAACATCTTTTTTCTTAGAGAAGTTGCATGTTCACACAGACAACTCCAACCTCCCATAAGGAGAAGAATCTAGGTCAGAGGCAGTGAAGGGACTCACTTTTTGGTCTATGCTTCTTTTGGAGGCACTTGACAATTCATGATTACCTTATAGTTTTCTTACAAGAACAAAGATAGACAATATCATAGTTTATTCAAAGTATGTATATTCAAAAGATGTCTCTTCCAGGACATATCCAGTGTGCCCAGCCACTTAACTGAGATCCATGTAGGATTTGGCACAACCACTTCCTTCAAGCCATGTATGCATTAACAAGCATTATTCTTTATAAAATAAGTCTTGAGCTGGGCATAGTGGTACACACCTATTATCTCAGCACTTAGGAGGCTGAGGCAGGCTGTCACAAATTCAACACCAGACTGGGCTACATACATAGTAAGATCCTGTCTCAAAATAAAAAAATAGAAATAAGATATCTAAGCCTGTAATGTTAATTAAGTTTATTCACATTTTTCGAAATATATACAATATTAAATATAAGCTAAAAACAGTACATAGTTCTTAGAAAATACAACCCAATGCCCCGTTTTCTGAGTTTTGTGATTATAATGTGCTTAAGCATTTGTTCTTCTATAATTTTAGTGAATGTGTTGGCTCAAACCAAGCTTAGAGTGACAGGAAACCTCCTCTAAATAGTGTTGTTATTATAAAACAAATCCAGAGAGAGGCCTCTAATATCCTCATTCAGGTATCTGAAATTTCAAAATGGAAATAATTATTGAAAGAGCAAGCAATGTTTTCCTACCTCACACTAGCAGGGAGAGAAGAGGCAAATTTGGGATGAAATAAGGATCTTATTACCAGCGCCCTTATGCTGAGTAACTCTCATCTTATAGAAAAGCCTGCTTTGAGAGCAAGTATTTTTAAATGGCCAAGTCACACTTCGAGGGTCACCTTTTAATAGGAACTGACCATAGACCACACCGTAAGGACCATCTATGGGGCAGGCGTTGGCAGAATCAGCCCGAGGCGGCAGCACCAGCTCCATCTGGTTAAATGTACAACCCACAAGCTATTCATACCCAAAGCAGTGAACTCACCAAGACGCTTGGCTTCACTTCTAATATGTGCTCTGCCTCTCTTCCTCTTTGCCAGTAATACTTTCAGATGGTATAAGCACCAAGAACTCTAACATTCCATTTACAAAGCTTATGCCTACTACAACAGTCAGTTTAAAGGAACAGGGAAAGATGCTGTAGATTTTTGTTGTTGTTGGGAAAATTACATAGGATTCTTTGACATTAAAACTATCAGTATCCCAACCACCACCTTGCCTGCCCTCATGGCTTTAGTCCAGGTCCCACAGCCTAAATGTACAGTCCTCCTGAGTTGCCAGCAACTGACCTTCACTGAAACACATATGGAATGGTGTAAACATGTGCATACTGCGCTGTGCGCAAGTCAGCTTATCTACAACTAATTATACCTTCAGCTGAATTTTAAAATGAATAAAAACTGGGCACAGTGGTACCAGCTTGCAGTCCCAGCTTTGAGAGAGCTGGAGTCAGGAGGATCATGCATTCAAGGATAGCTCCAACAACTTAGCAAGACCCTAGCTCAAATAAAAATAAGGGCTGGGGATTAGCTCAGTTGTAGAGTGCTTGACTAGTATACCAAGACCCTGTGTTCAATCCCAGGCACCACCAAAAAAACAAACAAACAAACAACAAAAAACAGTACCCAGGAATTTTATGGGGTGGATGAGCAAACAGAGCAAGAAGGTACTCAGATACCTCCTGAACAATAATTAGAACAGGTTCACATCTTCGTATTAATCATTCAGGTCCTACACAGTGCTAGACATTATTACTTCTATATGCTATTACTAATTTTCAGGTAAAAGTAACACAAAAAAGTATGTTTAGTGCAAATTGTTTTAATTAAAAACTTGAAAATTTAAAAACATTTTCATGTAGCTTTTTAAAATATCACTGAATGCTCAAACACTTTTAGATATCCTCCAACAGGAAAGGTAATTTTGAACTACCTCACTGTCCTGCAGTTTGTCCCACGAACTGGGAACATGATTAAAATCACATTAGTTTTTAGAATAAGAAAAAGTATGACCACAAAGTTATTAGAACTTTAAAAATTTTATAGATAATTTTAATTATCAAAAGATAGCTACTACTCTTTTTTTAAAAGGGAAGAAAATAAATCTTAAAGAGCAGAGAAGGGGGGTTCATAACTAATTCATGCTGATTTATTTGAAAAAATTCTTCAAAATTTGTGTTCATTTGTTCTGTATTTTAAAAAAAGGGAGGGGTGTGCAACATTGTTTCTAGAGCCACCTCATCCCCTTTGGAGTTTTCCAGAGTAAGCACAAATGCAAGCCTGTTTTCTAAACAAGCGACAAAGTCCCAAGTGTTCACAGGCTGGGGGAGCTGGGCGGCTTCACCACTCCCAACCCATCAGACATTGTTAGAGGTGACTCGCCCAGTATGGATAATAAAGCAACCTGCGAGAAGGCTTCACAGAGTTTTCACAAAACAGCTTCACTGTCACAACTACCACAAATATGTGACCTTCAGGTACCTGCAGTGTGTAGACTTACCAGAATTAGCACCACAATCCACCAGAATTATGAGCAAGGTTGTGTTGGACAACATTTAGAATTGCCTCATTAAATCTACATCTCAGTGATTAGAATTTTCTATGTGAAGGGACTATGCAAAAATATACAAATATCTTAAAGTTTTTTTTTCTTAAACCCTCATAATTCTTCAGTATGCATTTTTAAAGCTCAATACAGTTACAGGATGACAGTGTGACAATTTTACGTGGAATGAAACCAACTTGTGTTCTAAAAATTATCATACTTCAAAGACCCAGAGTAAAAATATCAAGAAAAAACTCAACCTTATCCACACATCTTCAGATGCTAAGTGGGCACAGAAATGGCGTATTTCTGATAGAACTTAGCACAAATTCTTCTAGGAGATTCCCTTGTGCAAGACAGAGAACACTCCCCTTTGATGAGGAATCAGTGTTTCTTAAAACCATTTTTCTACCCTAAAAGCAGTTGTACTAAAGGCAAGAAGCACTATTTACATGCTGCACCACTCTCTCAATAAGGTATAGCTAAGATCTACCAGCCAGGAATCAATGTATTCAACCTAAAGTATGAATATTGTACATCATCGGGACTTTGTTGAGTTCTGTAGAAGAAAAAGTACAGCCAGCCGGAGGCGGGATGGAGGTGAGCAATCCCTAATGGGTGTCCTACCACACCCCTGGCCCATGGACCAAACAATCTCAGTGCATGACATACAGCTTTAGACTTTTAGTTCCCATTGTTACAGCCAGCTACTAACAAAGAGGCAAAAGTTCACAGTGGGTGCATGCCAAAAGTCCAGACTGTCCCTTACGTGTTCTAAAAGGACATCTTGCAATTAAGAAAATGTGACACTCTGACTCAAAAGAAGCTTCATTACTACTCTACACACAGACTACACTGCCACTCACTTACTGGAATGTATCTCAACTATTACACTATTAAGTGCCTAGATGATAATATGAAGAGAATAGTGACCCTCACCCAGCCCACGTAATGTTTAAATATCATAATCTACATGAAAGTGATGGAAACTAAAAGACTAGTCGACTTCTCAGGATCTACCAAAGTTTCAGTTTCGTTACAAATTCTTGGATACTTTTTCACAAAGAAAAGTCCACTGAAGTAAGTAAAAGTGAGTCTTAATACTGCAGGATGCAGATGACTCTCATGGCATCTAAAGGGACTGGGAACAGGGAGATAATGGGCTCCACCTTCCGTCTGGAGGACGTGGGATGGTAAGCATCTGTAGCCAGTTAAAGGCATTTGGTGTCTGTATATTAAAAGATTAAGATGCTTTAAAACTAAACTCTTACAAGAATATCAGAGATTTAGGGACTCAACTTCATAAATAACCAAATGTCTATGGCTTCCACTGTCTGCCCTACTGCTGAGGTAGGTGACCGATATTCATCAAAATAAAATAATCTTGCAAATTCCCTAAGCCAAGCCTTGCATAACCAGTTGGTTTCTTCAACCTGTGTCCACTCTGGTTTAATAGTTCTTGTCCTTTTCACTATGCTCTGGCCGAGTAGCACCGCATGTACTCGGTCACCCAGGGGTTGTCTGCCGAGGCCCCTGTGGGGGCCTTGATCTTTCTGTTCTTCTCCACATCCACTGAGTGGGCTCGCTGCCGCTGTGCAGCCAGTCTCCGTTTCTCCACCTGTCTTCTGCTCTTGGCTCGTAATGCTGACTCGTGAATCTAAGGAGAGTTCAAAAATAAAGCATAATGACTCACGTGGCTTTGGTACCAGTTTTCAAGAACATCCACAGTAAAGCTATCCACTCCACAAGGATGCCCTGAACTGAAGCCCTACCTTTCCGTTTATGATTCTGCAATAAAAGCTTCCCAGGAAGCCATTCCTACCTGACACCATGGCTCACCCATGACCTGTGACAACAAGACTGAGCAACTGAAAATTATATTTTAGATAGAAGTACGAAGCAACTACTTATATGTGCTTCTAGAATTACCTTCAGGAAACTGCTGGAACTACTTTCCATAAAGCGTAAGTGTTTCAGTAAGTAAACTTTTAATATTTTAAAGCAGTACACAAAGCAATGTTAAAGGATTTTAGCATCCTTTATCCTCTGGCAGGATAAATCCTATTAAATCAATCCGAGGAACTTGTCAGAGGTCCTTTGTTAGAGAACAGACTCTCTTCTCAAATTTCACTCCCAATAACACCATCTGCTGGGTCCAGAGTCTGTTCAGTGAAACTGATTGTTCAATCACAATTCACGCCCAGAGTCTGTTCAGTGAAACTTGACTGTTTAATCACAGATCAGAGTCTGCATCTCCTCTTCCTACCTCTTAACGCATCCCTTGCCCTGTGCTGCAGTCACAGCAACAATGCTAAAATACGTAACTGTTGCACACCTGCATCTGTGAGGGGCCTCTCCTCTGAAATGTTTCAGGTTCTGACAGAAACAAACCAGGGCTGAACCAGAGGGCTAAAGTTCTTGTGGGCAAAATGTATCCAAAAAAGACAAAGAAGGAAATGGTGGAATTTGCTCAGAAGAGCAAAATGAAGTCTCCAGTAGGTGTCAGCTAATCAGAAGCACCAATAACAAGAGTCAAGGGTGCCAGGTCATCAAAGCCGAAGGAAACAGAGCTCTCGAGAAGCCAGTGGCAAATCTCGGCAGGCAGCTGCCAGCGCTGGCTGTGCTCCTCCTCCACACCCTTGGGTCCTGGGAGGGGGAAGGGGAGAACTATGCTGTCACCTGCTTCTCCAGTGAGGGGTTAGTAAACCCTGCCAGCACTGGCTGCCACCCTGCCCAACACCCCTGTGTGCCACGCAGCCAATACTGAGAACCCTCCTGCTCATAAAGCAGAGGCCTAGTTCTGGGCTCCTCTGCCCCCTAAGACCTCCACAGCAACCCAGTGGCCCAGGGTGAGGCCCAGTGACATTCCAAAGGGACAACGGGATCCTGGCCAGGCTCACCTCGTGCACAGAGGCAGAAGCACAGACATTGTGGGTCTTCTGGCTCCCGGTGTCTGTCTGCCTTTCTCCCCAGCCGTAAAGTGCAAATGGGTGCTTGTTTTCTTTTATTTTACTCAATGACCTTTGGGGACTTTTGACTGCTTTCCTGTTTCCTCTAGCAAATAAGGCACTGGGCTGCTGTCGAGGTTTCACACTGGTGGGTAGCCTCTCCGCCTCTTCCTTTTTGGTGTGTTGTTTGGGTTTTTCTTCTACATCTTCCACTGGGAGTACTTCTGAAAACAATAGAAAATAGGATAAAAATAGCTTAAGATCTAATTTTCATTTAGTTACTTTGTGTTGAAAAAATCATAATGTTTCATGAAGGTAGCAATATTTTTACCAAAGGCTCAACTCACAAGTTTCACTGAAAGCAGAAATATAGAAACAATTTTACATAATGACTTTTAAACTACTCATCAAGGGCCCGGGTGCAAGGGTCTGAGTTCAATCCCCGGTTCCAAAAAAAAAAAAAAAAAAAATTCATCGCATTTTAAAATCAAACACAGGAACAGTGAGCCAAGCCTGGTGCAAGGCCTGCCTCTCAAAATTCAGCGTCATGGGGCTGGGGAGATGGCTCAGTGGAGTAAGTGCTTCCCTGGCAAGCTCAAGGGCTGAAGTTCAAAAAAAAAAAAAATTCAGGCGTCAGTAGGTCAGTACCACGCTGAGAGCACCCAAGCCCCAGGGCTCCCTGCATGATCCCCACAGCAAACCCAGTCACCCCCAGGCTTGGCCTCAGAGATAGATTTGGATCGCAAAGTGAGTTTTTAAGTTACTGCACTTGAGTTCCTGGCTCCCATTTCTTTTTGACATTCCATGATTATAGAATCCACTTCTCATCTGCTCCTCCTAAGGGCTAACTGGCCACCCAATGTGGCAGACCCCGTCACAATGGTGAGCAGTTGCCACAGTTACTCACCAGGGTGTCCAGCTCTGCCTCTGCAGCACGAAAAGCCAGAACAAAGGAAAGGGAGCAAGCTCACCACACAGTCCCCACTTCACTATCCCAGTCAAGGGCTGGGGAAGTGGCGGAGATGCAGGGGAGCCTGTGGGCCCAGCGTGAATGTTCCGGGTCAACTCTGCACAGGAACCAGATCAGCCAGATAGAAATCTGAATAGAGCCTTATTGAGCTCAGGTCTGTCAGCTACTTCTCACACAGGAGAAGGCTGATTGGCCCTGAACGTAAGTAGCAAGAGGGTATTTATAACAAATCACATCTAGTTTGGTAAGCAAATTTGTTATCTCATATAGAGCAAGAGAAACTATATTTATTTGACACAGCTGTAAACTTTATAACTAAAAGGATTTTTATAGCTTAGTGATAAGTATATATTTTTATAAGATATATCTTAAGCTGACTACGTTATAGGAGATGGTTGGGGAGGAAGTTTGTTTGTTGCCTTGACAAGAAACAGTTATTTATTGTTGAACAGCCTTGAGCCGAAAGGGAGAATATATTTTTTAGAACAGATAACAGGAAGCACAAGGGGTTTTTATAATTTTTTACAGTTAAGGCACAAAACTCTGTTAACCCTTTACATTCCCCACTGGTTTTTATCTGGGAATTAAATCTTTGATTTATCTAAACCTCCTAACTTGAGTTGTCCGGGGGTGTGAGAGGCTCATTGTTAGATCTCAACACCATTAACTTAATTGTCTGGATTTTTTGTTGTATATATGTAGTCAAACAGTTTATTATACAAGGTCCAATGAGCAGGACCAGAAGAAATATGATCACGGGCCCAATCAAAGCAGTTGTCAGATTATTTGTCTAGGGGGATATTGAAAATAACCCCCTGTTATTACCTTGATGGATATCTTGAGCTAACTTTTTTAGTATGTTTACTTGATTTTGTATCTGATGGCTGTTATCTGATAGGTTAAAACAGTATGTTTTTTATTTTTTTATATCCTTGATGGTGAAACAATAGTGAAAAATCTATGGCAGCCCGATTGTTTAATATAGCTTGTCTATGTTTTTTTTTGCTTTGTATTGAGTAGGGCGACGGCCGTTGAAGGGGCATTAAGAGCTTTGGCACATTACAACCCAATTGTTTTATTTTTTTGTTGTTATTTTACCAAAGTATAGGTTTTTAACAACATTGAGTATTATAGCATAGGCTTTTGCATCACACGGGAAAGTGACTTTATCATTATAGTCAGGAGGAAGAGGAAATTTCCCCTGGACACCTTTTAGGGTTTTAGTATTATTTTTTTAACAATCCTCTCTTTTCAAATAAAATCTATTACCTTGTATAAACCTGCCCTAGGTCTGTTTGCTTTCCACCCAATCACACACTTGCATCAGAGCTGTCTCCATCCCTCCTGCTGCTCTGCTTTCCCCCACCCCCAAGGGTCCATCCCCAGTGCTCCCGGCCATGGCTCTGTGTCTATTTCCCATTCCTAAAGTCAGAGTGGACCCTATGTGGGCAGTTCAGGCAGAGCAGCCGCTGACTGTCAGGAAAGTTTGTCCTCCTAGCACTGACCTGGACTCTACCAAACTGTTTCATTCATTACTAAACACTGAAGGCAAGGTGCCTACATCTGAGCCTGCTCTAGGGCTGCCAGTGTGTGTCCATCTCTACACACCAGCTACGGGGTGGCATGCAGCAGGCCCAGACGCTCGGTGCCATGTGATCACAAGAACCAGGTCCACTTGGTATCCAAACACTGGGGGCTGTGCCCTCACTTCACCTCTCCTTTCCTGGCCCTGAGGCAGGAGGAAGATGAACCGTGGGGATCAATAAAAAGGGAAGAAGGCAAGGCAGGCCCTGTGGGGTGAAACGATGCTGAGAAAAGGCCTCGCATGGCTCCTAGGACCACTTTCTTCTCTCTCCCTCTCCCGTCCAGTTCCCAGGGAGGCAATCCTGACCTAGTTTCAAGGAGCAGAGGAGACGTGTCAGGATGCAGGACTGGGCAGACATTAAAGCATGGTATGGGGAGGGGATTACAAATAGTTTCAAATGAGTAGAACAAAGAGAATCTAAGGATAAGACCCATTCTGAGTGGCAAGAAAGAAACAGACTTGCTACATCAAATTCAGGAGATTATTTTTGTTTTTTGAAGCACTCTGGATTGACCCCAGGGAGTATAGGCTATATTCCAGGTCTTGCTCCCCAAAATAGGAATAAATTCCCCAAATGGCCCTCAAATTTTGAATCTTCCTGTCTCAGCCTCCAAGAATGCTGAGATTACAGAGATGCGCTGGCATACCTAGCTCAAACTCAGGAGTTTTCACTTTATCTGGATAATGATGGAAAATTACTGAAGAATTTTAGGTTGAGAAATGTGGTCCTTATTTGTATTTTAGGAAGGAGGCCTCTGGCCTCTAGCTGCAAACACAAGGAATGGATTTGATCAGCCAGGGAGGCAGACAACTGAGCTAGGCAAAAATGACACATGGTCAGAGGGTCAGTCACCAACAGTGACAGCAAGTGGTCAGAGGCACAGGGATCAGAACAGAACTCAGGTTCATCTGGACCCCTGTGACCAATACCTACCTGGCACAGGGGTAGGAGTCCAGGTTTCCTTTAAGCAGACAGCTCGGCAGTGCTGAGCTACACATGAGACACCATGTGGCACCAGGGACGGGAAAGCCTGAAGGAACCGAGTATGCTGAGCAGTCCTCATGAGGCCCTTCTAGGGGTGAAGACTGAGCAGGTGAAGCCACCGAGATGGCTAAAGCGGGCCCTGGAGACACAGTTCTGGGCAGAAGCAGGGCTCCTGGTCCACACAGGTCACACAGAAGGTCGAGCCAGAAGTGAGAGGGTGCCATCAGGCCCTTGAGAGCATCTTATTTCATAAGGGGACCCAAGGGGGGCACAATATACCAGAAGAGACCTGAGGAAACAGTTTCAGAAAGGAAGGAGCAATTCCAAATATCAAAGTAACCAAAGTAATGAGGATAAAAAGTCTGTATCAGGTAGCAAGGGTGTCAGGTGGAGAAGGGGGCAGGAGGGCAGGAACTGCAGAGCTGAGCAGGGAGCAGTGGAGACAGGAAGGCAAGTCGTGACAATGGGCAACAATGAGCACCTGCACCATCCCTCCCTGTGAGGTCACAACAAGCCTGAATGGAACACAGAAAGCCATTGGAGGCTAACTCTCCATGGTCCCAGCACTGGACTGAAAGTCTTCCTGGCAGTCCCTCGGCCCCATGTGACTCCTCCAAGTTTTTTCAAACACAACTGCTAGCTCACATAAAAGACAGCCAGGCACACTTGGGAGGAAGACAGTAAGGGGGCTGCAACTAAACAACAGGCTTGTGATCCTGAAATTATTATCTGCAGACTATGAAATAAGCATGCTTGTCCTCTGTACTTAAATAAAAAGACACACTTAAAAATTAACTACAGCAAGAGACAAAGATAGAAAATACAGAAGAAAAAAGGTGGAGTGTATCACTGTAATTTTAATATTTATAAAACTTAAAATAGTGCCTGGTACACAATAATTACACATAAATATATGTTTTCAAAATCCTATTTGAAAGACTGAAATTTAAAGAGTTTTTTCAAACAAAGCCAGTATTTCCCGGTAGCTATGGCAGCCTCTTAGTACCTGAAGGAACACAGAAATAAAAATAAATTCAGTTTAAAAATTCCACCAAAAAAAAAAAAAAAAAAAGACAGCCTGTCTCAAAACAAAACAAAAACCCCACTGATTAAAAAAAATGCCTATTTAAAATTTTATTTAGTCTTCACTTAGAGTGGACTTGCCCAATACAATACCCACTAGCCACATGAGATTCTTAAATTTACATTTAAATTCATTATTAAAAGTACACAGTAGCTCAGCAGATTAAAGCATCTACTTCAGCAGATGCAGGGACCAGAGTTCAGTCCCTGGTATGCCATGCTGGCCCCACCCCCAGGGCACACTGAGACACTGATTGAGACTGGACATGGTGGCATGCACCTGTAATCCTAGCCTTGGGAGGCTGATAACAGGAGGAGCACTACAGGTCTGATCTGGGTAGTGAGACACTGTAGACTCTATACTAAATACATTTTTTAAAAAAGGACACACTAATCACAGTCAAGCGCCCAATGGCCGCACTTGGGTGGAACAAACAGATGTGGCCCACATCATGGGAGCTCTACTGAACACAGAGGTTAAAAAAAAAAAAAAAAAATCAGTGGTAACATCCATCTCAGAAAGTATTAATGAGCAAAATTCAAAAATAATAATGAAAAGAATCTACATAGTCAAGAGTTAGTTGGGGGGGACCCTAAATGG